GAATACTTTTGCACGTCGCATTTTTCAGTTTTTCATTTGTAAAAAATGTTTTGATTCATGTAAAATTTTGCTTCCACATTGTATACCACTTTGTGTTGGTCTTTCACATTAAATTCCAGTGAAATATATTTATGTTTGTGGTTGTAATGTGACAAAATATGGAAAAGTTCAAGGGRTATGAATACTTTTGCAAACCACTGTATACATGAATATAAATATTAGGGGTGCAATAATACATGTACCCGTATCGAACCGTACAATACAGTAGTTTAGGTTCAATACACACTTGTATCGAAAAATGCAGATTTTTTTAAATTTATTTTATCAGCTTGTCTTCTGAAAATGCTCTGTGTTGAAGAATCAGTTTATCTGTGTTCAACTACTCTACCTAGGCTGCATATTTGAGCTCAGATCCACTGAGAAACTTGCTGTTTCAGCAACACTTAATTTAAAAACTGTCCTTTTGATGTTAAACAAATGTTCATAATTTAAATAAATTAAAAGATAAAAAGGGCATGGACAGTTCTCTTTTTTTGTATTGAAACAATATTGAACCGTGAGACTAAGGTATTGAACCAAACCGAATCGTGAATTTTCTGTATCATCGTACCCCTAATAAATATATATATTTGACTGGTGGAAACAGATCCAAATTAACGTCAGCATGCAACGCAAAGAGGATCCCCTCCTTGTTCCAAAACACACAAGCCAAAAATCAAGAAGCGCTGCGAGTTGTGCTGCTACCCTCTTGCAGCTGCTGGTCATTTTGCTGTGCAGAGCGTGCCCAGCGGCGGTCAGACAGACCCACCCGCTGCAGCGCTGCACAATGAGCCTGTTATTCTTAAAGCGAGCATCTCTCTCAGCCCAGACGCAGCGCGCTGAGAAAACTGTTGACGCCCACAAAATACAGTTCCCATTACATCACAACAAGGTCCATCACATTTTTTTAGGAGAAAAGTTAAATATAGTGGGGCTTGCAGCCGCTCCACCCAATGTTCTGTCATGATATTCTGCAATAACAGCAGAAGAAGCTGAAACTACAGAATCAGTTGTGTGTTCAGACAGCAGCCACTCCAGATGTTACATTTTAGTTTAGAGAACTGGTTTTGTGTAGCCCAAAAGAAACACACAAAGCTGGATGTCTTCAAAGGTACGAGGCTCAGGTTTAGCTGCCTTCATCACAAAATGCAGCTTAGTGATCTTTGCTGTGCTGAACATCGCAGGCAAGCTCCCTTCCTGAGGCAAAGCACCTGGCCTTCATCTTTCTGAGGCTCATGTGGGAGAAGTCGGGGCAAAGTGTTCTAGAAGATGATTAAGTTCATTAAATAAACTCTTTAAGCTTCTGCTTCTTTGCTACATGTCACGTCTAGATTATAAAGAGTCGATTAACTTTTGAAGTCGACCCCATTCAAAATGACCACTACAGGCAACTGACTTTGAGAACACAAAATCTGAAGCTAATAGGGATAATAGCTGAAAATCATCCAGCACTAAAGCTAAAATTTCTTTTGAAAATAATGGCTTTGAATTAAAWTTTTTTTTCTCAAATCATTTCAACTATTCCTAATCAGGCATGAAAGTGCTTTTGTCAGAGCACAATATTTATTCCATAGTTCCATCTGATTGACATTTTCACCATTAGTCCCTTTGTGAAAACACATGATTGTAGACAGCAGACTTACTTTCCCTGAGGTAATTGAGATGAGACAGAAGCACGTCTGCGTTGTACATGGAGGTGAGCCGGAGGAAGTCGTCTTTGTTCATCTTGCAGAGGTCTTTGCCGTCTGTGTTTTGGAACATGGACGTGTCGATTTCTAACAGGCCGTACTCCTTGATGGCCCACTCCAGCCACTGRCGCACGTGGTCCTGAGACCACAGGGACGGGTCTGCAGTTTTAAAAATACAAGAGAGTGGAGGTTTATAGACTGGAAAGAACAAACAAGTTAAAAAAGCATATTTATGGATACTTAGGGAAGCCAATTGGAAAATAGGTTATATTTTGTCAAGTGAAAGGACATGACAAATGAATTTACTATTACTAATTGGCGCAAATAGGAATAACAACAAGCACAAGGAGTGTTCAGTTTTATATATTTCCAATGTGGGTCTGGTACCAAAAACACATTCAGAAAGAAAATAAAAAGCATATTTCAAAAGGAATGCATAATCTACCACCACATAGTATGCCAAAGTTTAAAGCTAACATGCCATGTTATTTGCTTACATTGGAGCATGTGATGAGGATAAGGATTTACTACTAACGCATCAAATTTTAGCTCAGTATCGTAAAATTGACTGAGTCAAAGCCATTTTGTGTCTGTTAATCCCAATTAACTGTGGCAGCAATCATGAACGGTATTACTCCAAAAGTTAATCAGTTCTAGATGTACAGCCAATAACCCCTTTCTGCAAGTTTCATTGTCATCATAATCATCATTATCAGTCGTGATTTTGCTAACTGATGGGCAGAAGCACACAAACACTGGCAACTAAATCAACTAAATTACTGGCAAACCCATCTTTCATGGCAGCAGTCGATAACAAAATCTTGTCGAATGTTGCCCTGCCTGACGTACAGCACATTAAAGCACATTAATACTAACCTTCATCTTTATTGCTAAAAAAGTGGCAACTGAAGCTCTTAAAGGCTGTTAAAAGCCTTGTGGACGGACATGTGACCTCTATTTCTGAATAGATAGATAATGTACTGTTGATATTCATTTCTTTAGTTTTTATTGGTAATGTAGGAATTCAAATCAGCGGGCAACAAGCATTACTTTAATGAATGTTACTATCATGTTAGGAGTGTTTTGATCTCCATGTTGATGATGTAAAATGGTTTAAAGTATATTAATTTGCCACCAAAAGGTATTTGTGTATTCTTCCTTTTGGTGTATGCTAAATTATGGTAACGTTATTTACATGCATGCTTTTAGCCCACCGTGCTGTATTATGTTCTGTAACAAACACTTGATCATGCACTTAGTATGAATCATCAAGATGTACCTTTTTCATCTGAAAACACAATGCACATCCTGCAAAAGATAATGTTAGGGAAGGCGTCTATTACCAAATGCCTCTGTCCATTTGTTGTAGCGTACTGGCATTTAAAATACCAAGTATGGAAAAATGTTCCAATTTAATAAAATTGAGTAAAAAGGCTGTTTTCTTTCATGCTACCTATTTTTGAAATCAGCCTTGAAATTCCATTAGCATATAGATATTGTCTTGTATTTATACTTTAGAATAGTTTTTTAGTATTATTATTCATTGGGTAAATTATAGAAAAAGACAATGGTTTCGTAAATTATTTTCCTTTACTTTTGTACTGATAAATCTGGTCTTTTTTGTTTGTTATTATCTCTGTTTTATTTTACATTGCACAGTATTTTACTTTTACTATTGATTTGTACTATGAAACTGAAATCTCAAACTAGCAAAGTAAAAACAGGACTATGTACATTTACAGCACTGTTTAAAATCATACATTAATTGAAGCATAATCCACTTTGCAATAAAAAGTAATAATAAACAATAATAATATAAATAATAATAAATCTATAATGAGGGTTTTATGATCATAAAATCCATATTGGTGTCTTACTATCGGACTCACTAAAAACAAAACAAAACAAAAGAAACACATTCTTGACTCTGGAAGTCTAAACAGGATTCCTACCTGCAGGTACGATAACTCTCCGCTCATTGGTGGTCATGTTGGGGGGTGGGGCATTTTTCTCATCCATGTAGCTTCCGTAGGTCATCTGAGATGCATCGTTTCCCGCCACCAGCTTATTACATTTGCCCACACTGCAGTCCACAGGAGACTCCCTGCTACACAAACACACATGGGAACAAACTTGTAAAAACACTATCAGCAGATAAAGTGGGTGTTGTTAAATTTCCTCTTAAGAAAACTAACTTTGGCACGAGTTATTTAGGCCTGATCTTGCCTCGCCGAGTGAATAGAAGTTTAGAAGTGTTGGTTAGTTAGACCTGCTGAAACACAGGTGGCTCTCTAATTTGTCTAATAAAAAAAAAAAAACACTAGAGAGAAGTTGTCCTGACGTACCTGGATCCGTTCATGTGCTCATACTCTCTCTTGACATTGACCCTCACGGGTTGGTTGATCCACTCCTGCTGTGGGGGTAAGGGGTTGATTTTGTGGGTCTGGCCGTAGTCCTGTGTGCCAGATGCAGTCATATCCGTTTTGGGGAGAGGGGCAGCAGCAGCGTACGGAGGCTCAAACAAGGACTGGTCTTCACTCACCACAGATAGCGCCTCCTGCAGGTAAAGAAAACAAATGGTTTGCTTTGTTCTTCTCAAATTATTTCATATACACTCAAAAATCAATGTAGTGGGTTTACCTAAAAGAAAAATAATGTAAACTCGTAACACTCAACTGAATTGAGTAAAGGTAACACATTCAGCATTACCTTTACTCAACCAGTTGACATATTTTTAAAGTAAATTCAGTACATCTGTTTTTTTGAGTGTACTGCAAACAAATTTCACAACTTTTGATCCTTTAACCACTTGCAGCTTTGTAAAACGGCCCAATATATATCAATTTATTTAACYACGAAAATCCTATTGAGATCAGAGATCTGCTTCGCAAGGGAGGCCTGGGCCTGAAGGCAGACTAACATGTATTTTTGGACTGTAGGAGGAAACTGGAGTACCCAGAGAAAACCCACACAAGCATGAGGAGAACAGGCCATCTCTACACATGCAGACCTCAACCAGGAATTGAACTCAGGACCGTCAGTGCTAACCACTGAACCCACTGCGCTGCCCTACAGGTTGAACAGGAATAGTGTGTTTGTGCTTTTCATAACACACAACCCCAATACAGTTAAGATGTTATTTACAGTGTAAATATTGAGAAACATTATTCTGAAATTGTTTTTCACAGAATGGTGAACTTTTTTCTGTTTTTATTTCAAATACAAGCAGACTCTGTAAAATACAAAAAAACTTTTCATACTCAGTCCTTTTGCTAACCTGTTACTAATTAATCTAATAAACTGCAAAATGCTCCTGTTTTTTTTTATTCATATCACATACTTTTATTTTATTTATTTTTTGCTCCTGTCCCTGCTGTTTCAAGATGTACCGCTGCCATCACATTTAAATTGACCTCAGTTTTTTTTTAACAAACTATGTTTACAATGTTCCATTGTGAAGCATGGTTTCATGAGATTAGCAATTTACTGCATTCTGGTATTTATTTACACTTTAAAGATTGTCCCTGCTTTGCTGGATCCAGGGTTATGTAATTTAGACAACATTCGCAAAAGCATGCCAAACATTTAGCCATAGATAGATTTGGGTGAAATCTGTGAGAAAACAAACCCTCTATGAAACTCTATAACTCAGACATATTTGAAAATACCAAATGATAATCACAAACTTGACTTTTCCGAACAGGCCTTTTAAGGTTTAACAAATTTTAAATAATTCCAATGTCAATTATATGATTTTTTTAAACATTTTCACCATGTTAATGATGTCACACCCTAATTCACAAGTTATCTAAAATTCTTGAAATAAATTTAAACAAACTCCTCTTATTTTTTTTACATGATTTAAATACAAGTTATACATCAAAACATGTTTTTTAAATCATCCAGTGTAAATAATAGTTTTCTCTCACATCCACTTTTTTTAATAGGAACATTTATTTATTTTTTTAACTTGTCTGGTCTTTTACAAAACACTATTAATACTTAAAAATGAGCTTGCATGACAACCAGACAATTCTGCTAGTGTATAATATTTTATTCTAATGCTTACATAGTGAAAAATGACTGCTTGGGACTGACTTTWTAGTCTTCATTTCTCTCTGCCTTTGTTATTGAGAGTGCTGTCAAGGAGTGATAGGCGTGTGGTTATCATGGTGATCACAATGAGCCACGACAGCCGCTTTTTTTTTCCTTCACACTTTTTTTTACAGTTTACATGTCAAAACATCAGCATTTTGTCAGCTCAGAAAGTTACTAAAGTAATCCTTTAAAAGCCTTATAATAGAAAGCTATATATGCTGGAATTTAGGGAAGTAGCTGCAGTGACACCCTTCTAAAACTCATTTATTTCAGATTAGACAGACCTATGTTGAAACAAAAAAAGATGTAAAAATAAAAAAATAATTTCTATGGAAATGTTTGAAAAAAAAGCAGACCGGGTTATACTTTTACATTTACACAAACTCCTTCTTTGAACTGGACTTGTTGAAGACAAACACGGTTTAAGCCTCTAATCTGACACTACCCTGAAACTTGTGATGTCAGCTCTTCAGTCTCTTGTGCATTTTTGTTTACAGCAATTATGTGCAGTTATGGGACATATCGCAGTCTGGGATCCTCAGTAGTTTGTGTACACAAGCCATGTTGGGACTGCAGCTTCCTGTTGATATGATAAGCTGACTTCAATCATGCCCACAGTGGGGTATCATATCAAATGTTGTCAGATAAGACGCAACAATCGCCTCGGCTTTATGCACATTCCAGCTCAATAAGTGCAGGAGCCGTTAATGACCACATTCATTCAGTTAAAGCAAAACTCAAAGAGTTGACAGTATTGTTTTTGACCAGCGTTCCTTAAGGAAGGCCTACACGTCCATCATTTCTCAGTGATGGAGTTGTATACACAGTTCCCATACAACATTGCATTAATAGACATGAATATCAATACCTTGCCTAATCTTTTTGCTACTATCAAACAGAATTTTAGTTCAATGTGTGTAAAAATCATTGAGGGTATCTGCTTTATTGAAGGTTAAGGTAAATTAGCTTTAATTAGATTGACTCTGAAAGTTAGAGTTGTAGATGTGCACCTAATGATTAGATTCTTAGATTAAAGTTAAATTCAGTTCAAATCTGATCAATGATTCATGAGCTATTTTGCTGACAGACAACAAAAGCTGATCCCAGGAGTTCYTGCTAAAGCGTAAAAGATCTTGAGCAATGAGAGCAACTTGAAGAATGTGTTGTGAATCACTGTCTGCAACTAATCTTAGTCCAATCTGTGTAAATTTGACAGAATAATAGTCATTTTTAGTGTAAGTTTCCAAAGCCCAGTTGATTTGGGCTGACTYCAAAAACAAATTGTCTGTGGATGTACATTGCTTTCTGTAAGTTCTATTAAATWAGCTAATGAGATAGTTTGGTATTTTAGTCACTCATGAATGTACAGAAGAGCATATATATAATTCACCTTATCCTGTATAGGCAGGTGATAATTATTCCTGTAATTGTTTCTATACATGATCAGTCGCCTGTTTTACTATTTTTTCTTGAATCTTCTAAAGATTCTCGCTTGGTTCGTCCTGTTTAAAGTGTTGATTTGTTCCGCTCCACAGCTGAAAACTTAACAGGACCGAGGGGGTGGGAGGTGGGTGATGCAGCAGCACTGACCCCTCTGCTTCGGCTCAGTTGGAGCAATGTCATTTTATTAAAGAAAACAAATGCAGAAACTCACTGGACGGACCAAGAAATATTGTCAGTTGTGCTCTCACACGCTTCTGTAACGTCTGAGATGTAAAACCCGGTTTGTRCAGCTGATGAATTAACATCGAGATGTCGCAGTTTTAAAAGCAACATCACCTGCGTGTGACGCCTAAAATAACTTGAGTCAAACATTGTTTTAATATTCAGCTGCTGGTAAAACAAACAACAAAACAGAAAGTAAAAAATAAACAATCAGGCAAAAGTTGAAGTGAAATTCTACCAGTGTTTGTGTCAGGATTAGGTTCAGTTCTGATGTCCATCTGGATCTGATTGGATCTGATGGCACAGCTCAGATCGAGACGTGTCTAATCCCAGAGGATAGACGTATTTCATTCCAGCGGGCCACATCTCTGCTTCAGGCAGGAAGAGGTTAGTTGATATTCATTGATTCATATTTCCAACATGTAGCTGTTCCTTTCTGTAAAACTTGACTTTATTAAAAGTAAAAACCCTCTACAGCTACAGCTTCAGCAATAACTTCTTCAAAGACATGAATAGAAAGTTTTTTCCTTTTCCACAGTTTGGATCAGAGCATGTTTCTGTCACAAACATTGATGTTTTCATTGGAACAACTTTGAAAACTATTTATGCATATTTACAGACACACAAAGATTGACTGTAATGACAGAAATGAACCCTCATCAGCTTTGTTGTGACACAAAAATGAGTTGAAACATAAACATGGAAGTTGTCTTTTTTTCCTCATCCTGCACGCTTTGTGAAGTCATTTGAGACTCCTTTATAAAGAAAGTATTTCATTTTTAGACCGATTTGAAAGCCACTGCTTTGGACCATGAAAATCTTTCAATCCCTTTTTCAAATTGTACTCTAAAACATATCGTTGGATTTACTTTTCCAAGTTACGTATGCCATCAATTTCCACTCAACTTAATTGAGTAAATGTAAAGCAACTTTCAAATTTTCTCACATACTCAAGTAACTGAACTCGTTGAGTGGAAATTGATGACGTGACTTGATGAAGTAAATCCAACAAAATGTTTTTGGGTGTAATTAAGTTGAAAAAAATGTCACATTATTGGTAGGTCCAAAACATGCTGACCAAAGTTTTCTAAGTTAACTTTAATAACTTGATAAGTCAGAAAAAAAAGTGAAATTTCATTTTGGGCCAATCTATTGAACATCTCTAAATAAAGGATATAATTGGGGAACTTTGTCTAAAACAATAGATGTTTTCTTTTTTAGCCTATTTAATGTAAAAACTGAAGTCAAATCTAATATTTTTTTTAATGTTTACAACTTGTCACCTTTAGTCCACATATCAGCTGAGTTATCAACAAGACAASTGGATTGAGTTAGGAAAATAAATACATTTTAAAATGCAGAAACAATTGTTTAAGTAAACCTGAGTTGTTGTTGTTTTCCCTTATTTCTTTTAACAATGCATATATTGGACAATATTAATAAACTATGAATTGGACTGTTTCTTGGGTCAATTGGACAAATTATATATATA